GATGAACAACCTCAAAAGGCCGGGCATTCCAGTCGCTGGCGGGTCGTTAGCGCATTGTGAAAACATTGGCGGGTTCTCCGCTTGAGAGACGGGGAAGAGGGTAGGAACGTGTGTCGCGCTGCTGGGATGTGCGCTTGGATCACGGGTGCGTTTCTAAGCGTTCTCGACAAAGGGGGGAACAGGGACTCATCGGAAGCTGACTGCAAAGAGCTACAAAGGGAGCTCACAAAACTGGGTGATTGGCAACACAAGGGCAGATGGAATTCAGGGTTGACACATGCAAAGTGATGCCCCTAGAGGGTAGGAACGTGTGTCGCGCTGCTGGGATGTGCGCTTGGATCACGGGTGCGTTTCTAAGCGTTCTCGACAAAGGGGGGAACAGGGACTCATCGGAAGCTGACTGCAAAGAGCTACAAAGGGAGCTCACAAAACTGGGTGATTGGCAACACAAGGGCAGATGGAATTCAGGGTTGACACATGCAAAGTGATGCCCCTGGGCTACTATAAACCCAGCCATAGATACAAAGAGGCTGGGGACTAAAATAGCTGTTCCCATTCAAGACCGAGATCTTGGAATCCTTGTGGCTTGTTCCCTGAAAACATCTGCTCAATGTGCAGTGGCCGTCTGAAAAGCTCCCAGCACACTGGGAATCGTTAGGAGAGGAACGGCTAAGACGACCAAGTCCCACATTGCCGCTACATCACGTCACTGCGCGCCCCCCGCTAGAATACTGCGCGCACATCCGGTCACCCCACCTAAAAAGGTCTATTGGGTTTGGAAAAGGGCCAGAGAGGGCCCCAGAAATGATGAGGGGTAAGGAACAGCCTCCATCTGAGCAGAGATTAACAAGACGGGGAAAGAAATGACTAAAGGGTCGGGGGGTATGTTAGAGGGCTACAAAATCATGACTGGTGTGGGGAAATGGACTAATTCTCCTGGTGGCCACTCGACACCGAGTGGGACGTCTTCCTGCCCCCTCCTCTTTGTGGCTGACCCGCCCGATTCTGGAGCCGCAGGTCTTATCGCAGAAGGGGCGGGAGCTGGTGGCTACTGCAGGGACGCGGGGCAGGTTTTGCTGCTCTTTTCTCCTTCTCCTCCTCTCCTTGTCTGCGTGGTGGCGGGACCCGTCAGATAGCGCCACCCCTACCAGATGACCGCTCTCCACTGCAGACGGTCCTGGGCCAGGCCCACCCACGGCTCCGCCTCGCAATCCCTTCGGCCCGCCCACGGCACTGTGTCCAAATCCCTTCGGCCCACCCACGGCTCCACTTCGCTTCGCAATCCCTTTGGCCCACCCAAGGCTCCGCCTCGCAATCCCTTCGGCCCGCCCACGGCTCCGCCTCACAATCCCTTCGGCCCACCCACGGCTCCACTTCAGAAGGGGCGGGAGCTGGTGGCTACTGCAGGGACGCGGGGCAGGTTTTGCTGCTCTTTTCTCCTTCTCCTCCTCTCCTTGTCTGCGTGGTGGCGGGACCCGTCAGATAGCGCCACCCCTACCAGATGACCGCTCTCCACTGCAGACGGTCCTGGGCCAGGCTCACCCACGGCTCTGCCTCGCAATCCCTTCGGCCCGCCCACGGCATGATATCCAAATCCCTTCGGCCCGCCCACGGCATGATATCCAAATCCCTTCGGCCCGCCCACGGCATGATATCCAAATCCCTTCGGCCCGCCCACGGCATGATATCCAAATCCCTTCGGCCCGCCCACGGCATGATATCCAAATCCCTTCGGCCCGCCCACGGCATGATATCCAAATCCCTTCGGCCCGCCCACGGCATGATATCCAAATCCCTTCGGCCCGCCCACGGCATGATATCCAAATCCCTTCGGCCCGCCCACGGCATGATATCCAAATCCCTTCGGCCCGCCCACGGCATGATATCCAAATCCCTTCGGCCCGCCCACGGCATGATATCCAAATCCCTTCGGCCCGCCCACGGCATGATATCCAAATCCCTTCGGCCCGCCCACGGCATGATATCCAAATCCCTTCGGCCCGCCCACGGCATGATATCCAAATCCCTTCGGCCCGCCCACGGCATGATATCCAAATCCCTTCGGCCCGCCCACGGCATGATATCCAAATCCCTTCGGCCCGCCCACGGCATGATATCCAAATCCCTTCGGCCCGCCCACGGCATGATATCCAAATCCCTTCGGCCCGCCCACGGCACTGTGTCCAAATCCCTTCGACCCACCCACGGCTCCACCTCGCAATCCCTTCGGCCCACCCATGGCACCGTGTGCAAATCCCTTCAGCCCACCCATGGCTCCGCCTCGCAATCCCTTCGGCCCGCCCACAGCACCGTGTCCAAATCCCTTCGGCTCACCCACGGCTCTGCCTCGCAATCCCTTCGGCCCGCCCACGGCATGATATCCAAATCCCTTCGGCCCGCCCACGGCACCATATCCAAATCCCTTCGGCCCGCCCACGGCACCATATCCAAATCCCTTCGGCCCGCCCATGGCACCGTATCCAAATCCCTTCGGCCCGCCCACGGCACCATATCCAAATCCCTTCGGCCCGCCCATGGCACTGTGTCCAAATCCCTTCGACCCACCCACGGCTCCACCTCGCAATCCCTTCGGCCCACCCACGGCTCTACCTCGCAATCCCTGTGGCCCGCTGTGATGCAGTGGGGGGACGGTCCAATTGCTGGGCGCTGGGATTGGGCGGTGGGTGACCCCTGCTGGCCCTGTCGGTAAGCACTGCCCAGTGGGGGGCGCCCTGAGGGGGTGGTTTGAGGAAGAGTCAGTCTTGGCTGGGAAGACTTGGAGAAGAGACGAAGCCGAGTGCTGGGGGTTCGGGGGCCTGTGGACCCGCCCCAAGGGTCTGAGCTGGCCTGGCCCCTCACTCTGATGCCCACATAGAACCCAGGCTGGGCTGTACGGCGCAGAAGCAATAAACCCCCATTCTACGTGCTGGCAGAGTCTCATCTTGCTGAGACGGGGTGCAGGGTCGGGGGTCCCTGCCCCACTGCCACAGGGAGTCAGGGGTGGGATGCGCTGTGCCCCGTGCATGGAGCCTCCAGCAGCGAGTGATGAGGCGCAGGAGAAGGAAGGGGCTTGCAAGAGCCAGGCGCTGGAGGCAGGGGG